TTCATCTACAGGCTCATTCTTCATCTTCCCTCATCTTTATTTTTTTAGCTTTTTTTTTTTTTTAGCCAGATGGCAAACAACTAATGTTGCATTTATGTCTCCAATTGCTAGGTGCACAATATGGTGGCAATCAACTTTGTGTCACTTGCTTGGAACTTTCTGTTGCTTCCCGGTCCTGCCGACAAACCTGGAATGTTCGCAGAAAAACCTAGCGAGCGGAGACAAAATTAGTTTGTTCAGTGTCAAAAAAAGAAAAGATTTGTCATAAAACGAGACACATGGACCCAGTATTCAAGGTGAGCCAGACAATAGGGAAGTTTCAAAACGTTTAATGACAGAAATGATACAGAATGACCTGAAACGTTGCTGAGGATAAACGGACTGCAATGGCTGCAGGAAAGGGGTGCCCAATCAGTGACACTCTGGAGGGAGAAACACAGGTAAGTGGCAATGATCATCTGACAGGAGAACATTTTCTGAGTGAGTCACTTACCTGGTTCAACAGTTCAGTCCATCATCTCTGAGGAAGGCAAGGTCCAGCTGATGGACTGCCAAACGAGTCCGTCCAAAGCCGTCCAAAGTGTCAATAATGCAGCATTCCCAGTGAGCAGGCAGGACTCCGATTCAGGTCAGAACAGACAGATCCAGGCTTCCACGAATCGTCAGAGAGTGAAGGCAGGGTCAGAGTTCTATGAGTCCAGCAGCATGCTCAGACAGAAATTCTCAGATGGAGACAGGCAGGCTCAGTGGTTGAAGGATAGAGACAAGACATGCTATTTGAATCACTTTAAACTGGTTTCCACATTGGAGCCAGGATTAGGGGAATTAAAACTGACCTAAAACCCTGAGGGCTCCGCAGAATAGGACCAGAACCAGTGCTCTTCCCCCACACTGAGCCAAAGCCCTGAGGGCTCAGCGGAGAAGAGCCGGAACATGATCAGGAGACAGGAGTGTGAATTTAGGATAAAGAGTTGGAATATTCCATTTTATTTAACGTCCTTTGGATGACTGACTGAGGCATTTCAGCACCAGCATAGGGTCTGACAATGGGTGCAAGAATGTCATCCCGATACCTAATGGCAGTCAGGGTGCCGTTGTTCAGCCTGTATAGATATGTCTCCCCACCATCACTGACCCACCACCAAACCGGTCATGCTGAACGATATTACAGGCAGCATAATGTTCTCCCCGGCTTCTCCAGACCCTTTCACGTCTGTCACATGTGCTCAGGGTGAACCTGCTCTTATCTGCGAAAAGCACAGGGCTCCTGTGGCGGACTTGCCAATTCCAGTGTTCTATGGCAAATGCCAGTCGAGCTCCATGGTGCCGGGCAGTGAGCACATGGCCCACTAGATGACGTCGGGTCCTCAGGCCACCCTCGTGAAGTCTGTTGCTGATTGCTTGGTCAGATTTCAAACCAGTGCCCTGCTTGAGGTCATTTTGTAGGTTATGCTAACAGTAGTGACAGTGACCCTAGCCAGATGCAAAACTGGTGGGAAAAGAGCCAGAAAAGATGAGGAGGGGAAAAAATGTCAGTGGCCTCCACCTGTAAAACCATTCCTGTTTTGATGGTTGTCTCGTTGTTGCCCTTCAGTGCACCTGTTGTTAATTTCATTAACACCAAAGCAGCTGAAACTGATTAACCACCCCCTCTGCTACTGACCTGACCCAATCAATATCCCAGAAGTTTAATTAAATTGATCCTATACTCCAATTACAAAGAGTTCCTTTATTTTTTTTGAGTAGTGTATTTCCCCCTCTTCTAAATCAGGGATGAATCTGCTTCTTATCGCACCTGATTCAATTTCCTACATTTCAGCAGGGGCGGATTTAGGAAATTTGGGGCCCTAGGCAAAGACAGCCATGGGGTCCTCTGAATTGAGAAGACAACATATAGAACAGACCCATTATACAGAGTGATAGGGTGCGCCAAGCGTCTGCAGTGTGCTCAGCTGACTTTTCATGCTGTCTCAAAAGGGAAAAGCAAAAAACACAGTCATTTCTTTCACTGTAGACAAGCCAAGATCTGCTTATTTGTTCACCATTTTTCATTTGAATGAAATAATAGTTTGAAGTAAATCTCCGCCCGTCTCCATTTTTTGGAAAGATCCTGTCCTTCACCTGGAGTGGTCCTCTCTGTACTATCGAGCAGCATGCTCGATCAGACAGCTGCTTTGGCCAGCGTGCTGGGTCATCTTCGAGAAGTACAGTGCTTACTAGCTGAGTGGTTGATGCTGGACTCTCTGGTTGAACAACATAATCATGAAAGTCTGGCTGGATAATATTGGAATTCTCTCCATCACAGTCCATCCCCGTCTCATGCTGCAAACAAACACACATAAAACACAGTATAAGCCTTTTACCCAGTGGTTAAATATAAGTATATTTACTCAATTGCTAAAGTAGAAATTTGAGGATGTCATGTTTTTTCAAGTTTGTCTATGTCACTGTAACTCGGAGGAAAGAATCTCTCTCTCATATATATATATATATATATATATATATATATATAAGGTGCATGTCATAGGAAAGACTAGTGATGTTACAAATATGACAATTGCTTAAACTACAGAACAGTAAATTATTTAATCTATAATTAACATGACCCTTAACATCCCCAGCTGTACACAATAACACAGATTAAAGCAATGTTAATACAAAGCTGTAAAGCCGAGTGAGATGTTGGTAATAACTTCCTTATGGTATTTGGATGTATAACTTAAATTATTAAGGACTAAAACACCTAAAACTTATGGGTGATTTTACAACATTTAACACTAGAAGTCCCAGAGAATTTCCGTTTTCCTGCAAGCCCCCCCTCCGCTCTTCAAGTTTGTGTATTCACTCTACCTTCCTAAATGTCCCTATTGTAATGCAAATAACCTATGATATGACCAGCCCTTCTACATGAGACTGGATGAAGGCTGAGGCCCTGTCCACACGAAGCAGAACCCTGGCCTAAACGCACATATTTTTCACCAGACCAGCCTCTCATCCATACGAAGCCTGCGTTTCGGGGGTCTGTAAACGATCTTTTTTTTATTAAGCCTTCAGAGTGGGAAGATTTTGAAACGCCGTTTTCGCGTTTCCATCGTTAAGCTCTAACCGCATTTTTTTTCTTACATGCATGCGTCATGGCGTCACCTCCAAACACGCATGCGCGACACAGTATCACAACAACAATGGCGCCGTCCTGTGTTGAATGGTTGCTGCTCATGCTACTCACCCTGCTGTCGGGCTTACAACAGAATCTTCTTCTTCTGGAATATCTCCAGGAAGAACAGAGCAATATCGACGACATAGTTCAGCACCGGAATTTGACTGAACCACGAAAATGGACCCGCAGGGCAACCATGTATAAATATTAGTGCGCATGCCCAACATTTCTTCGCCTATTTTCTCTTTGGCACCAAAGCGCCACTTACAGGCCTGGCATACATTTTGCAGCGTTTTCATGCATTCGTGTGGACGATCACATTTATTTTACGTCTCCGTCTTTACAACAAACGTTCTGGAAAATATTAGCGTTTCGTGTTCGTTTTGACTTCGTGTGGACGGGGCCTGAAACAAACTGGCATCAGAACAAGAGCATGCTCCAAGCACTCATTACCTTCCCCTGCAACATCAGAACTTTTTGCAGGAATAACTTGATAATTCATATCTAAATCTTTTATTTAGTCAAACCTATGGAACAACCAGGTATCATACGGGCCCTAGTTCCTGAGCTGAGAACAGGTCATAACCATGCTTTTCCAACAAGGCAAGGTAAGACATAGCCTATTTATTGTTGGGAGCTGGAGAAAATACCATTTTTCTCCAGCAGAGTCCGCCGTGGATCCTCTGAGGGAGCCTCCTGCACAGGTGCAGCTCATCAAGACCATCAGAGGATCCACTACTTAAGCTGCCTTCAGACCTTACCTCAACGCCGCAGTGTTGTTCCAGTTGGTCAGCGCTAAAGCCTTGATCTCAGTGATTTTTCCATGTCCTTAATCCCGAGTCAGATTCTAACGTTTGTCTCTGTGCCTCTAGGTGACTCGTGCTTCCTCCGTGAAAGCTCTGGAAGAGCTAACCTGCCGAGCCGACCCTCCGAGCCAAACCCTGAAGATTCTCAGTCAACCTCTAAGCAGCTCTGGGCAAGAGCTAGGAAACCCAAGCCAAGGTCTGTTCTTATAAGACGTGAGACGCTGAAGCAGCTAACGGACTCTGCTAACACATCCTTCTCCAGAACCAACAGTGACTCTCCCAAGGAGAACCTCAAGAACCCTCAAGGTACTATCAGAGCACCATTGGAAACCAAACCCCGTCAACAGTCCTTAACTGTGTTGTCTCTCACGCAGACTCCGGTGAAACCAGATTCCAGGCCCGAACCAGTCTTCTGCATATTATGTGCTTGTGCAAATAAACTTGTTAAACTTTTCATCCTGTGTCCGTCAGTGGTGTTCTGCATCTTTGGGTCTCCATTAGAGAACCGATCATGACAGAACACTGCGGCCAAACTCAAGGCCCAGCAGATCACCTCACCCGTCGTTTGGACGAGCAGGAAGCTCTTCTCCAAGGACAAACCCAAACGCTTCGTGAGTTATACCATCTTGTTGGTTCACATAATCAAATGCTACAGAGTTGCTCTAACTTTCTGAATGGAGCTAACGCTACTTCTGCACAGCAACCATTTCCGGGTCCAGTTCCTCCTCCCAGAAAAATTCTCTGGTAACATGAAAGATTGTAAGGGTTTTTTATTCCAGTGCCGGCTGATTTTTCTGAACTCTCCTAGTTGTTTTTCTTCTGACCACAAGAAGATATCGTTCATTCTCTCTCAGTTAACAGGAAGAGCTTTAGATTGGGCTCAGGCTAGATTTGCCATCGACGACGGTGTAAATTGCCGTTTTTCTGACTTCATTGCTGAATTTTCCCAGGTATTTAACCAGGAGACGGAACCAAACGATCGATTCCAGAGCTCTTTTCAACCTTAAACAAGGAAATTTCTCAATTAACTTCCGGGTTAAAGCGGCAGCTTCCGGATGGAACCAGAGCGCTCTAAAGGGGGCATTTTTCATGGCTCTAAATGAACAAATCAAGGATGAACTTGCTACCCTCGATGAACCAGCTTCCCTTGACGATTTTATTCGTCTCGCCATCAGATTAGATAACAGAATCCGAGCCAGAAACAGCTCCAAGAAGCAAAGTAAATTTTCCTCTGCCACTCATAACATGGCTGTTCTCTCTCCCTCTACAGAGCAGATGCCCACACAGAGTTCTAAGCCACAGACTCTATCGTTGCCTGTTCAGGCCTCTCATTCAGGCGAAAGGGACAATGAGCCTATGCAGGTGGAACACACTAGGCTTTCTCCTGAGGAGAGACAGAGGCGTTTTCTTGGAAAACTTTGCATATACTGTGGTGAGAGTGGTCACTTTATCGCCTCCTGCCCGGCAAAATCAAAAGCCGGGGCCCGCCAGAGGATATGAGGAGTCTGGCGGGCCATATAAATTCAAGTAAATCTCCTCGACTTTTCCTGCCAGCTACTTTGTTCTGTAATAACCAGAGTCTCTCTTTCTCCGCCTTCATCGACTCAGGCTGTGAGCGCAATCTAATCGACTCTGAGCTCGTCCAGCAGCTTCAGATTAAAACCATTCCCCTGTCTCAGCCTCTCAGTGTGTCTGCCATAGACGGAAAGAGACTCCATCGTGTTACCCACCAAACCCAGTCCCTCGAGCTACTTCTGTCAGGTAACCACCGAGAAACTATCACCTTTTTTGTGTTTCCTTCTGCATGTTCCCCCCTGGTCCTCGGATTCGAGTGGTTGGAGAAGCATAACCCTCACATAAATTGGACCAAACGTCTCCTGGAATCTTGGTCTACTACGTGCCACGAAACATGCCTTCGTTCTGCTGCCCCGATGGCGGGGCCTCCTAGAGGTGGGGGGGAGATGGACTCTCCTGACCTTTCTTCCGTTCCCTCTGAGTATCACGACTTAGCCCCCGTTTTCAGTAAGGTCAGTGCGACATCCCTACCTCCACATAGACCCTACGATTGTGCCATAGAACTTTTACCCGGTGCTCCTCTTCCAAGCAGCAGACTGTATAATATTTCCAAACCAGAAAGAGAGACTATGGAGAAATACATCAACGAATCATTGGCTGCTGGAATAATCCGTCCTTCATCCTCTCCTCTGGGCGCCGGTTTTTTCTTCGTGGGCAAGAAGGATGGTTCTCTGAGGCCATGCATTGACTATCGAGGTTTGAACCAAATAACTATTAAAAACAAATACCCACTGCCTCTTCTCGCCTCAGCTTTTGAACCAGTGCAGGGTGCAACTGTCTTTACTAAGCTGGATTTAAGAAATGCTTATCACCTCCTCAGAATTCGAGAGGGTGATGAATGGAAGACAGCCTTTAAGACACCCTTGGGCCAGTTTGAGTACCTGGGGATGCCCTTTGGTTTGACTAACGCCCCAGCCCGTTTCCAAGCCCTTGTGAATGATGTTCTCAGAGATTTCCTCAACGTATTTGTGTTTGTTTACATTGATGACATTCTCATTTATTCCAAGGATCTCCATGAACACAAGAGACACGTCCGTCTCGTTCTACAGAGACTACTGGAGAATAAGCTGTTCGTGAAAGCCGAGAAATGTGAATTTCATCAGTCTTCAGTCACCTTTCTGGGGTTTGTGCTCGAGGGCGGCCAGGTAAAACCTTCAGAGGACAAGATCAAGGCAGTCCTAGATTGGCCAGTACCTGAGAATCGAAAGCAATTACAGAGGTTTTTAGGGTTTGCTAACTTCTATCGCCGCTTCATCAGGAACTATAGCCAAACCACCCTGCCATTAACCTCACTAACTTCTTCCAAACGAGTTTTTCAGTGGACTCCCGAGGCCCAAGCTGCATTCGAGAAATTGAAATCCATGTTTTCCAGAGCACCCGTACTAATTCAACCTGATCCTTCGAGACAATTCATCCTTGAGGTGGACGCTTCAGATTCCGGTGTTGGAGCTGTTCTCTCCCAAAAGGACGACTCAGATCAAAGAATACACCCTTGTGCCTATTTTTCCCGTAAGCTCTCCTCTGCTGAACAAAATTACGATCTGGGTGATCGTGAGCTCCTGGCAATCAAACTGGCGTTGGAGGAATGGAGGCATTGGCTGGAAGGAGCTGAGCATCCGGTCCTTGTGTGGACTGATCACAAAAATCTGGCTCATATCCAGTCAATCAAACAAGCTAACCCTCGCCAATCCAGGTGGTCCATCTTTTTCTCCAGATTCAACCTCATTATCACCTACAGACCCGGATCCAAGAACGTGAAGCCCGATTCTCTCTCTCGTCTCTACTCTGCCGATCATCCAGAGACACCTGAACCTGTCCTCCCAGCCTCATGCACCGTTGGAGTGGTCAACTGGGAAATAACGGACCTAATCAACTCAGCCCTAGCCACCGAACCAGATCCAGGTACCGGTCCGTCTAACCGCACATATGTTCCTTCTTCTGTCAGGTCCCGTCTGATCCAGTGGATGCACGCCGCAAAATTCTCCGCCCATCCAGGAGTGAGTAGGACTGTCGCTCTAATCTCCAGGTGCTTCTGGTGGCCCACGCTCCATCGTGATGTTAGAGAGTATGTGTTGGCCTGTCCCACATGTGCTCGCAACAAGGCTTCACATCAACCTCCTTCTGGTCTCCTTCAACCTCTACCTGTTCCCTCGCGTCCATGGTCCCACATAGCCATTGATTTCGTCACCGGTCTCCCTGTCTCCCGAGGTATGTCCACCATACTAACCATTGTCGACCGTTTCTCTAAGTCTTGCCATCTAGTCCCCCTGAGAAAACTTCCCACGGCCTTCCAGACAGCCCAGCTTCTTATCAAACATGTGTTCCGGCTTCATGGCATTCCCCAGGAGATTCTATCGGACAGAGGTCCCCAATTCATATCCCAGGTATGGAAGGCTTTTTGTTCTGCGCTCGGCTGCAAACCATCTCTCACCTCAGGTTACCATCCCCAAACGAATGGCCAGACCGAGCGTATGAACCAGCATCTGGAATCCACTCTCCGCTGTCTAACGTCCAATAACCCGGTGGATTGGAGCCTATACCTTCCCTGGATAGAGTATGCCCACAACTCTCTCCGTTCTGCATCCACTGGACAGTCGCCCTTCCAGGTCAGTCTTGGATATCAACCACCTCTCTTCCCCGCAGATGAGAGAGAGATATCGGTGCTGTCCGTTAATCATCACATCCGTCGCTGTCGAAGGATTTGGAGGGAGACCATTGCCACACTCAACCAGTCAGCTGAATCAACCAAGCGTTTCGCTGACGCCAAGATACGCCCCGCCCCTGAGTATTCTGTGGGCCAGGAAGTGTGGCTTTCCCCTCAAGGGGATGTCTCGAAAACTTTCCCCGAGATTCATAGGCCCATTCAAAATCTCCCGTGTCATCAACCCATCAGCTGTCTGTCTCCAACTTCCTCCTTCCCTCCGAATCCATCCGACCTTCCATGTCTCCCAGATCAAGCCTGTTTCCTCGAGCCCCCAAGGGGCGGTCGTTGAGGGGGGGGTACTGTTGGGAGCTGGAGAAAATACCATTTTTCTCCAGCAGAGTCCGCCGTGGATCCTCTGAGGGAGCCTCCTGCACAGGTGCAGCTCATCAAGACCATCAGAGGATCCACTACTTAAGCTGCCTTCAGACCTTACCTCAACGCCGCAGTGTTGTTCCAGTTGGTCAGCGCTAAAGCCTTGATCTCAGTGATTTTTCCATGTCCTTAATCCCGAGTCAGATTCTAACGTTTGTCTCTGTGCCTCTAGGTGACTCGTGCTTCCTCCGTGAAAGCTCTGGAAGAGCTAACCTGCCGAGCCGACCCTCCGAGCCAAACCCTGAAGATTCTCAGTCAACCTCTAAGCAGCTCTGGGCAAGAGCTAGGAAACCCAAGCCAAGGTCTGTTCTTATAAGACGTGAGACGCTGAAGCAGTTAACGGACTCTGCTAACACATCCTTCTCCAGAACCAACAGTGACTCTCCCAAGGAGAACCTCAAGAACCCTCAAGGTACTATCAGAGCACCATTGGAAACCAAACCCCGTCAACAGTCCTTAACTGTGTTGTCTCTCACGCAGACTCCGGTGAAACCAGATTCCAGGCCCGAACCAGTGTTCTGCATATTATGTGCTTGTGCAAATAAACTTGTTAAACTTTTCATCCTGTGTCCGTCAGTGGTGTTCTGCATCTTTGGGTCTCCATTAGAGAACCGATCATGACATTTATATTGTCCATTCACCAACAGACTCATTTATATTGCAAAGTTCACTATGTGAAAGAAAGAACAACTTAAAGAATAATTGTATTTTGTCTTGTCTCGCCTTTTCATGTCATTCAACATTTCGACTTAGAGAATGACAAACAGTACTTCAGTATTGGAGTAACATTATTTCACCCAACGAAAAGCACTATATATGAATCTACAATTGTCCCATTTAGCAGTTTGCACAAACCCAAGGTGAGTTCTTCCTGCATTTGAAACAGGTATACTTTGTGCAGTGCACACAGATATCAGAGAGAAGGCACCAAACGCAGTTTAGACGTCATAGTTACCTCAGTCGCTGCCTCAACCTTCCAGAGATAAACCAGTTACTAACCCAACACTATCATCTGTAACCCCAAGTGTGGATGGCTGCAGGCCAGCTGATATTTATCTACAGGATGTTGTGTGAAGTTAGAAAACTTAGTGGGAAGCATTTCTTGCGAGAGATAATGTTCAAATTTATTTAAAATCCTTAGGTGAGACGGAGAGTATGTAAAAGCTCTGACTTAACCATCCTAAACACATACATTTATACTTTTCAGAAATCCCAGCACACTCTCTCTCTCTCCCATGAAACTAAACCCACCTCTGCCCAAAAGAGCTTTGTAACACACTTGAAGAAAAGAAGGAAAACAACTTATATTCACCAAAGACATAAATCTATCCAGATAAACATTTCTAAACAACTGTTTTCCCTTCATGACATCAACTGTCTTGAGCTCACAACAGAAGGAAGATCTGAGAACCTTGAACACATTAAGGACATGTGTTACGCCCACCAACGACACAACATATTTGAGGACACGAGACAAAAATGAGGGTTCAAAAAAAGATATTTTATTAATAAATTCTCTTCGTTTTAGTTGTTCTTGGTTCGGCTTCTTCAGATGTTCTGCGAAGAGAAAAATAGTTAACGGCCCTCAAATCCCGTGCCCCAAAAAAATAAAAAAAGAAACCCAAAGTAACAACAGAAAGTTGGACCTGGCAGGCCGATCAAACAGAATAAAACGGTACAGCAGGGGGCCAACCCTATACAGGGCCGTCGAAGCCCCTACTGGTACCGGACTAAAGGCAAAAAATAACCTAAGCGAAAGAAAAATCGAAAACAGGACTACCGGTCCCGCCAGGCCAAAAACCTCAAGAAAAAAGTAAGAAAAAGTTAACAAAAATACCACATGGCAGGCTGGAACGTCCGCTGCAGGCCGCAGCGACAAGACAAGTGCGCACCGCGCACGATGGAGCAAATGAAGCAGGTGGGAAGTGGCGTCCAAACGAGGTTGGAAAGGAACGCGCAAGGAACGCGCTAACGTGCTGAAGGCCAGCCTATTTATAGGCGGACGACAGCACCACAAATTAACATAATTGATTTACTAAAAGAATCCTAAAATATATTAACAAAAGATCCTTCAACTAAAGTTTATAAGAAAACAAAGAAAAGAAATGAACAAAAATCATAATGTGCCTGGGGCACATAACAACATGTTTATCCTTGTCTAGAGTAGACGGGCAACTGCTTTTTATCACCCCTGCTTCAACTGCCTACATTGCAGCAGAGACTGGAACGTTACTTTTATTTAGGCAAGGAAAACAGTCAAAGAGATGAGATAAAGCTAGAGAGAACATGCAGATTTATGTATTTATTTATTCATTTATTTATCTTTTTTTAAAAGCACATTCCTAGGCAGACACAGCCCAATTTAACCTGACAACAGCCAGATGCATGTCTCGCTCCGCCTAGCTCCACTCACATACATCTGGGAAACCGCCTTAGGAATTGCCTTTACTGAAGGCTGGGCCTTATCAAAACTCCTTGCATATGATTGGATAAGCCACTTGTCTGTCATCTTTATAGACGTGCTATTTCAACCACTGACACCGAAGCTAACCGGGACGCTGTGAGAGCGACGCAGGAAAAAAACAAAACAGAACAGCCGACATCTTGGAGATAGCAACAGTGGAATCAGCGCAATGTCGGTAAATGATCAATGTTGTTTGTGCCATGAAAATGTGCAGATAAAAGGCAACATTGTGCACGCTTCTCCACTACGTCACATCCAGGAAACACCCGCCCTGCGTCCTGATTGGCCAGACCATAAATTTGGTTGGGGAACGTGCTATTTCAACCACTCACAGCGAAGCTAACCGGGACGCTGTGAGAGCGACGCAGGAAAAAAAAAAAAAAAACAGAACAGCCGACATCTTGGATATAGCAACAGTGGAATCAGCGCAATGTCGGCAAATGATCAATGTTGTTTGTGCCATAAAAATGCGCGGATAAAAGGCAACATTGTGAACGCTTCTCCACTACGTCACATCCAGGAAACACCCGCCCTGCGTCCTGATTGGCCAGACCATAAATTTGGTTGGGGAACTCACTTTCAATGAGCGGTGTTGGAAGCCAAACAAATAGAAGGCTGGCTGTTGTCAGGTTAAGCCCAATTAGCCACCCAGAAGAACAAGGGATGGCTATTTGCTTGGAATGATCCTAGTAGGATGGTCCCTTCATGCTGCTTAAATACATTAGCAGTCCAACTACTGATTGCTCTGTTGCAAGCCGACCAAAATGACTAAAGCCGGGCATACACTGTGGGATTTTCGGGGCGATTTTCCAGTCGTGCGAGAATCTTTCGATCGGGCAGACTTTCAGCTTCATCGTGTGTCGTGAGTTGGTAGTGTACAGGGGGTAACGAGGGGCGATAAGCCTCTCACAACCATCAGATCAGGAATCGCGAGGTCAGGGGAAAATCAAACATGTTGGATTTTCTCCCGACCGTCGTGGGCGAATCGCTCAGTGCGCATGCGCAAACATGGATTCTTCTGTAAACACAGAAACATGGCAGGGATGCAATGAGTGAAATGCAGTTATGTCTGTAAAATTGACAGACCATAGTAGCCACGTTTGCTCAGTCATGTCTTTTTCCCAAATATTTCGCCGTCTTTTCTTTTTAGGGCTTTCAGCACAAAATTGCACAATTTGCTAAGGCAGCGCGTTTCACAATGGTGGCCTTCATATTCCCCTTCTATTTGTTTGGCTTCCAGATAGACGAGTCAGAGCAGCTCCATGTCACTGCGGAGCTGAGTCCGACGTGCTTTTTAGTCGTGCAGCATGAGCAGGTAGA